GTGCGCTCGCCAGACAGAGAGAGACATAGAGACAGAAAGCGAGAAATCACCCCCCAGGGGGGATGGTCACGCCATAATCCCTTCTCCTCCATTCTCCTCTCGGGATCTTGGGCACGCACACACACGCGCCCGGCGTGAGTTTTAAGCCACCGGGTCCGGGACGCGAACCGTGGTCGACTATGTGGGAGTCCAGCGACACAGCCATTACGCTAACTGCTGGTTCCCAGGGCCTCACGACTTCTGAGAGCTGGCTCCCTTGCAAAGTCAATGCCTGAAGCTTTAAAACCCTGAAGCTTTAAAAGCCAGGCTTTAACCTGACACTGCTCACATTACACTCGCAGCGTTTCCTTAGAGCTCAGAAAGCAGAGCTGGATAGGATTCTCTGGTCTGAAAAGTCGTCAGCCGGGTTGAGTCGAGTCAGGAGTCAGGAGGCCCCCTTTGTCCATCCCCCCGAGGGCTCAGTCCTGAGTGAACTGGTGGGGAAACCCTAGCACAGTGGTATAACACTGAACTGCTCCAGCTGCTTCATAGTTACAAAGAGATTTGTTACTGAAAGAGAAATCTACAAAGTACCAGCTAACAAGTGAAGTTAGTTCTAAAATTCAATCTCCACAGGACAAAATCCCAGTTTATTCTTCTAAACACTCGAAGGCTCCTCTGTCCGTGGGATATCCTAAGTGTGGCGGGCCTGCCCTGCCGTCTCAGGCCCTGTCGTTGCGGGTAACTAGGAACTGTCCATCCGCAGTACCGGGCGGGGCTCTGCGCTGCCCTGGGTGACTAAGGGACGTGTGTGCTCCCACACCCATGAGCCCATGGTTTTCAGTAGCACTGTTTTTTATGCCCGTCTCCAGAGTTAATCCGGAAAAGTAGAAGGTCAAGGTTTGGGTTTACGCTGACATTACCTGAAAACACACGGGGCTGGCGTGCAGACTAAGGTCAAGGGTTAAGGGAGCTGAATCTTACACGGCCCAGTGCAGCTAGGATCCTGGCCCTGGCAGCTTGAGAAGCATGCCAGGTGCGTGTGTGCCTAAACTCTGATAGGACGGGGAACGGAGCAGAAAGGACTATGGTGACCATGGCCCCCGAGCGGTGCTTTCTCTCCCTTCTCTGATGAACACGCGCGCCCCTTGTAGCACTTCGAGAAAAGTAAAAAACAAAAGGCAAGTTTATACTCTTGGTTCATCCTACCCCAAAAGCCAGAAGTCTTGTGCTGTTGTTTAATAATAACTCCATGAGTGTCTTTCCGGTGGACACCTGTCACGTTCCAAGTGTGGCAGGCAACGTGAAATAGGTCAGCACGAGAGAGGCGACACTGACATGTCCGCTAGCATCCTTTCAAAGTCCAAGGACAAAATGCTGAGCATACTGACGAAGAGGGTACCGACCCAGAAAAAAAGAGCCCAGGGTACCTGGACCAAAGGGAAACAAACAAGGCAGTGTGGGCCCAGGGCAGGCAGCAGAGCCCTGAGCTCCTTCCCGTGCCAGTCACTGTCTGCTCCCTCTCCTCCTCCTGAGTGCTGCGTAGACACGACCTACTGCCACCCCTAGGTGGGTGGCACCCTGCAATCCCTTCTCCTCTCGGGACTTGTGCACACACAGACGTGTCTAATGCGCTTCCGAGCTGCTGGGTTTGGGACTCAAACTGCAAAAACGGCCCCATGGGATCCAGCCACCACAACCGCCATGCCACCGGCGTCTGGTGTCTCACCCAGAGGAGGCACAGCAGTGTCACAGCAGTGCCAGGACAGGTGCCACAGCGGTGCTGCCTTCACCCTAGGGCAGGAGCACCCACAGCACCCCAGGCAGCTCTGCCCTCACCTCTCTGCTTTGACGGCTCCTCCTCCTCCGTCGGCTCTGACGGGTCATAGTAGTCACTCCCGTAAGTGAACCCCACTGCACTGTAGCTCCCATCCTCCGCTAAGGCCTCGCTCAATCGCTTGTACTCTTCCTCTTGAATAAAAACGAGAAATTTATTAACAAATCGGAAGCCACACATCTCTAAAGTCGTAGCTATCAGTAAAGCGTACAGCACACTTGTTCAACCTCTTTGAGGTGAAAACACATAAATGCACACGTGAACCCTATCGAAACTTTCGCAGTACACGTTTACCCACAGGTAGCAGGATACCGTCTTTTGTGGAAAATTTCTTCCTGCT